CACTCACTTACAGGGCAAAGATAAAAATGGCGAACGAATCTATAGACCACTACAGAAAGAGCGCCTTCCTAACTTTATTGATTTCGATGTCTATAAAGAAAATCAGAGAGACAGTTTCTATTATGCCATCATTCTCCTTTTCGTGCCATTTAGAAATGAGGATGAATTAGTTCATGATGGTGAAACTGTCCAAGAAGCATTCGATCGCCACATTGTCGACCACAAAAGGTGTGTCGAAGCAAATGAGAAATTCAGAAAGTTGCTCAAATGTAGAGAGAAATTAAAAGACATACAAGATGCCAGAGCAGCAAACAGAGAAGAAGAAAATGATGTGGAAGACGACGATCCACAACTGACGGGACAGATTAAAGATGCAATGAATGACGTGAGAGATATAGACACTGGATCTGGTCTCACTCTGCAAGAGAGAGAATCGATGCTAAATGTAGACCAAAAACGCATCTTTGATCACGTAAAAGCTCATCTCTTGAGGCAAATTGAATACGAAAATAAATCAAAACAAGAGAAGGGGCAATCAGAAAGTGTAAAACCGTTGCACATGTTCATCAGTGGTGTAGGTGGCACCGGTAAATCTTTTCTTATTGAGGCAATTAAAGCACTAGTGAAAAGCCTCTGGTCAACACTGACCAAACAGACATGCGTAGTTTGTGCTCCAACAGGATTGGCAGCTTACAATGTGGGAGGTGTGACAGCACACAGACTGTTTCAGCTGCCAATAGAACACGATGGACAATGTGCCTCATACTGGTCCATACCAAAGGCTAGTCACAAAGTAATGAAAACAGAACTTCAGGATCTGAAAATGGTAATCATTGATGAAGTGTCCATGGTTTCTAGCCTCAATCTCACTTACATACACATGAGAATGAATGACTTATTCGAATCAGACAAATGGTTTGGTGGCAAGAATGTCCTCTTTGTTGGTGACATCCTTCAATTGCCACCAGTTCGTGGACAACCAGTGTTTGACAAAGTAACAGCATCAACACTGAAATACAGACTTGGTAGTATGAGTGCAGTGAACATATGGCGTGATACTGTCACCTATGACGAATTGACAATAAATGAAAGACAAAAAACAGACCAGAAATTTTCGGAAATGTTGGACAAAGTGAGACGTGGCTTTTCAGACGATGAGACTCTCGCTACACTTTCCGAAAGGGTATTTTCGACGCCCATTGAGAAAAAATTTAAAATAGTACAACAGGGTGGTAACGCCCCAGTTTGCCTGTTTCCAAAAGTAGACATGTGCAAAGATTTTAATAAAACAATGCTGGCTAATCTACCAAGTCCTACCATAAAAATAAGAGCCACAAATTTAATTGATGGTACTGGCAGCATACATGTACATACAAAGAAAGATGATGATAATTTAGAAAAAAAGGTTGAGAAAAAGTTAAAAGAATTAAATAAAGATATTAACAATACTGGTGGTTTAGAAGCCAAATTAAAATTGGCTGTGGGGGGTAGAGTAATGTTGCGTTGCAATGTAAATGTTGAAAAGGGATTAGTGAATGGAGCACTTGGTACAGTGCAGGCCATTTCAGAAACACGCATAACAGTTAAATTTGATAGAATAACTGATCCTTGTGAGATTGAGAAAGTCAAAAGAAAGTTTATGGTAATGAAAAATGTCTTTGTGTATAGAAGCCAGTTTCCTTTGATATTAGCTTTTGCTGTTACCATACACAAATGCCAGGGACTGTCACTAGATAATGCAACCATTGATCTGTCTGAAAACGTATTTAGTGCAGGAATGGCTTACGTTGCTCTATCACGAGTACGAACACTGTCTGGTGTCCATTTGACATGTCTCAACCCCAAATCATTGATGGTTTCCTCTCGTAGCATAAAAGAAATAAACAGGTTGAGACAATTGTACAGGCCAGACCTCCCACAATATGCCATTCCTACAGATTGTGGCAGTAGAAAGCGTACACTTACTGGAACTATTGATGAGCCACAAGCAAAAAATCAAAAAAATATGCCACCACCAAAGGTAGCTCGTGATAAGAGAAGTAGGCCATCAGACAGTAAGAACAACGATAAAGCTAATTGCCCCAAAAAACCACCTACTGTTATCACTAATAATAATAATAATGACGATAGTGATGACTGTGTGATGACGGGAATGAGTAATTTAAAATACCATCCCCCCAATGCTGCTACTCAAAAAGCATGGTGTAATGCCCTAAA